GGCTTATCCAGTGAAGAAGATCCGAGTGCTTTGATTTCTTACCATCTGGCACCAAAAAATTCCCATACGTGTAGCTCAGATCTCGAACAGAATGTAAATACGCTGTCTTAACGTGCATGTACACAGAGATTTATCAAGCATTGGTACTTGAAAGAATAATATTAGTCACCATCAGAAGATACCAAAAATCAAGTTAAATTGGACACAAATCATGACATAGCATTTTTAGATCAGTGGGGTTTTTCCTCCCCTTTTTTGGGGAAGTAATTGAGGAAGCTAATGAAATAGGTCATTCTATTCAACATAACTTATCTCTCTTTAACTAGATCTCTTCTAAAATTGAGATAAAGCACCTGAGCCCCTTGTCAACTAGCACACCAAACATGAAACCTGTTGCACAAGGGTCATCAAAAACGCCTTCATCTGCTCCAACAACTGAAGACCACCCCAGAAACAGCAAAAAGAGAAAAGCCATGGACTTCCTCAGTTGCATCCCTGCCCCTCCACCGCTGACACCAATCTCTTCAGTCATTTCCCCATCTTTAAAAAAAGCATTTCAGCCCCCACGAAGCTTGGGTTTACAGCGTGGCAACTCGTCAAAAGAAACAAATTGGAATATTGGTCGTGTCACCCCCTCTAGGAAACTGAGAGAAACAGTCCATCTTCCTGAGAATGACCTGGTTGCTGATGAAGAACTTGCAATGATTAATACACAGGCACTCATGAATAATTTACCAGAAGAAAAGAAGATTGATTATGTAAATGAAAACAGCAGCACCACAGCCGCTCATTTATCCAAAGATCTTTTACCCAGAAATAGTTCCAGGTCTACTGGGGAGGGGAATAACTCATCAAAAAGCAGTTCTGGGGTAGCTGAGGCTCTTCCAGAAGACACAAAGGAACCCCAGGACTCGTTACCAGCCCGCAGAGTTCTACAGAGACGAAACCCCCGAAAACGCTGCTAAATGTACATGTACAGTGTTGTATATATTTCAGATTGAAATTATTTTTACACTTTGTACATTAAATCCTGATTGTATTTAATAAAGCTGTGTTGCAAAGCCAAAGATTCACCAAATGACATTTCATCTGCAGAATAATTTGAAGTTGAGTAATCACCCGTTTCTCACGCGAACGCGTATCGCAGAGTCACATCAGTGTGACTGAAGCTTTGATGACAAGAGGGTGGAGTGTTTTTTTAATTACCATCACACACCGAGTTTCAAAAATGTTTGAGGCTTTGCGGTAAGGACGTAATCAGCAGTTATTTAACGACGTGTGTCAAATCACTGCAGGATGGCTGCTTTCCTCACTCATCCAGCAGTGGCTTCTTGGCCCTTAGTGGTGAAAGGAATTGATTTCTCCCCTGAGGGAACATCTTTTTTTTCCCCTTTCTTAAGTCATTATTTTGTCCTAATGAGTTAGTTTGGGTGCTTGGTAGCCTTGTGCTTCAGCTATTGAGAGCTGCTCCTGTAGCCATGTTCCTACTTAGAAGTTAACAAGTACCAGCCTAACACTGCTGTTTCCTTTAGGAGCCCTGCGTATATGGACTCGCCTCAGGATCAGTTGAATTCCTATGTCTTGGCAAGATAAAGGGCTGAATTTGGTGTATTGAAGGGTTTCACCTCCAGGCTGGAGAAGCTGTTTGGCTGTGATAGAGGTAAGGCTGGCATGAATCCAGACTGCAGAGGTGTAGCTAGGGAACAGCAGCAACTACAACCTGCTAGAGCTACCTTCACCATTCCCTTTGCCTTTCTTAAAGCTGGCAGTAATGCTGTAGGGAAGGTGGAGTGGGAAGATACAAAAGGTTATACAGCCAGATACAAAGAAGCCGTGGATGCCCCATCCCTGGAAGTGTTCCAGGCCAGGCTGGATGAGGCTTTGAGCAACCTGGTCTAGTGGAAGGTGTCCCTGCCCATGGCAGGGGGGTTGGAACTAGATGGTCTTTAAGGTTCCTTCCAACCCGAACTGTTTTATGATTCTGTGAGTAAAATGACAGGAAATTACAAATGCAAGGAGAAAGTTGGCCACATGGCTGGAAGAAAGACAGAATTTAGGAATATTTACTGTTATCTATTAGTGACAGAGCACATTGCAGAAGAAAACCCCAAAAGTATGTGGCACAGCCAGTAAATTTCACAGTAAGCTTGAATGGATTTTCATGGAGAAGGAAGGATGAGAGAGAATACAGTTGTACTGAGCATAGTGCGTTAGTCATGCAGAGCTGTAAGGTCACAATCCAGTGACATTTAAAGATGTAAGAAGTAAGTCATTTAGAAATGTAGTAGAAAATTACAAGAATAAAAATCAGTTTAGAAAAATGTAAAACTAGAGACTTTTATACCCTGTTAATTAAAATACACTGAGGAATCCCCTTCTTCAGTTAAAAGGTGTGTTGTGTGTACGTGCCACGTGAGGCCTTCTGTTAGGGAAGGCTGGAGGAGGCGTGGAATGGGCACCCATGCCGTGTGCTGCATTTGGTCCACTGGAGCTTCTCTCCTCTCTGCTTGCCTCTTCCGACTGGAGAACACTGTGGAAGGTGACATGGTGCTCGTATTGGTCTTTCATCCGCTGTATCTTCTCTCGAGGGACGTGATGAGTATTTCTTCTGTAGAGACAACAGAAAATACAAGTATTTAGCTGCCCGGGTATTGCAGGTTATCTTAAGCTTGCTAAAGTTCCTGATATGTTCAGGATAACAGTGCATGTCCCCGCTGATCCATTTTGAGCCTTTTTTTGCCAAACTATTCTCCACTTCCACCTACTTGTTAAGAGTATTTTTGTGACTGCTGAAAAATGTAACACAAGTATTTTTGTGGGGCATAAGTCAGACAAATGCTTTGAAATGTAGGCCAGGTAGGAAAGAGCTATGGAGAAGACCTGTGTCTTATTTTATATGGGGTTTGGTGCTAAGGGCTTGTTAGCCTCAGGGTAAGATTTATAAAGCTGCAGAAGCATAGACAGCCTGGACACAGACTAACAACCAACTAGTATAGCAGTCCAAACCTGTTGTTGCTTTGTCTGAGTGCAAGTGAGGAAGAAGTCATACCTGATGTGGTTCATGCTCTAAGGCAGACTTGTAAATGAAAGGAGGGTGCAGAGGGGTGGCAGTTGGTCTCTTCTCCCAAGTGACAAGCGACAGGACAAGAGGAAACGGCCTCAAGTTGTGCCAGGGGAGGTTTAGATTGGACATGAGGGAAAACTTCTTCATGGAAATGCTGTCAGGCATTGGAACAGGCTGCTCAGGGAGGTGGTGGAGTCACCATCCCTGGGGGTATTTAAGAGATGTGTGGACAAGGTGCTCAGGGACATGGTTTATGGTGGGCTTGGCAGTGCTGGGTCAGTGGTTGGACTTGATGATCTTAAAGGTCTTCTCCAACTTAAAAGATTCTGTGAGTCTGAGAGGGAGTGGAACAGGATGCTCCAACCTGCTGGGCTTTCTGGATAGACCAGAAAAGGCTGCAGTACCTGGACAGAATCATGGGAATTCTTTTTCCAAAGACCACCAGGGATTTCTGCTTCTCTCAGAGTTTGCAAACTCTGAGTATCTTTGGGTTTGGCACCTAGCTCTATTAGACACAATTCATCATCTAGAATCTAAGTTTGTTTTACATCCGTATTTTCAGCTACCATCGGTGTGCAAATCCTGCATCGCCCAACACAGCTTTACCTGGTGGGATCAAGGTGACAGTAAGGCAGCAGCTGCTAAATAAGTCGGTTGGAATTAACTCCCCCTGCCCTCTGCCTGCAGTAACAGACAGGTTAGCACGTGTTAGCTGCTGGATCTAGGAGAAGGTGCGCACTTGCCACCGTCGCGTCGTTTACAGCTGGTTGGTTAAAGGCTAGAAAATCAGCTTGCACGGGGTTTTTTAGGGCTATAACCATTAACCCTGCACCCACTAGCCAAACTAACCTCTGTAAAGCCACAGGTGGCTGCCTCTATATCCTGCCACGTTACTAAAGTCGATACATTCATTGAACCCCTTTTGTGTGTGCAGGGTAAGATATTCAGAAAGATCTCCAGAGCCCCGTTTCTTGACCACAGAGTGTAGCACCCCACCCTTGCAAGACAGTATTCGTTATGGTTACTTTTTTTTAAGAACAGATGTCTGAACATTGTCTCTAATGCTTAGGCACGTTTTGCACCCGAAGGGTGCTGCTCAAAAGATGGAATGAGAATCAGGGTTCCTGCCCCAAGAAGCTGCAATGTAAGTACACGCTTGAGGGTGTTGCTTTTCCTACTGCCTGACTCGCTTCAGCACTGTCAGGTTCTTTCGGGGCTGAAATTACTGCAGAGCAGGTAGTGAGTCACAGCAATTTTCCATGACAATCCCTCTGTTGTCATTTCCTAGGTTACCTGTTAGGGTATATGAGGAGTGCTGACCTGTCTCAGAGCACATCAATAATGCGAGAAGCTGTCACGTACCTCGTCAGTTCGTGAACATTGAACTTCCAGGGTGTATCTGGTTCTTGGAATATAACTTCATATCTATTTTCGCGTGCCTGAAGAAGCAGACAGAAGGTTTAGAGCTCAGGAGCAGCCAATCTGCCAGACCCCCTGAGGCTTTACCTGGCTGAGACGTGTACCCTATGTACCGGGAGCCAGAAAGAGGAAGATAACTATGGCTCCCATCAAGCTGCTGGTCCTGAGTTTGTTTCCTTCTACATCAAAGGATTTGGGTCTCCCAGCAAAATTTGCCTCCGCACTGCCCCTGGTCCCCATTGCCCATGGCAACGGCATCCTAGCACTTCAGCTCTCTGGGAGGCACGGATGGCTCAAGAGTCACAAGTTGGCCAAGCCAATCCTGAGCTGCCAGGAGCGTGAGGTCAACGTCTACCAGCCATGCCGCTTCCAGCCGCTTTGTCTGCAAGTCTCAATCTTTTTCAAGGTAAAGCAACACATTCATGTGTGTGCGTACATATAAATATAAGTGCATATATATCTAATACAGTTGTTGATTGCTTTGGGGTTTTGATTTGGGGGAAAGGAGGCAGAGAATTCTGTTGGCTTTTTTACACCTCTTCCACCTCTGGCTGTGCGCTCTCACCTCCTTCGTAGCCACCCGCATGCGTTCACCACCTCTGCATGGAGTGGCGCGTCCGGGCTTTCCAGCACCGCGATTAATTCATGCCTCTTCCGTGCTTCCGCGTAAGCCATACTTAGACCCAGATTTCTCAAATGACAAGGCCGTAACCCAAGAGCAGAGGCACGAGCGTAGCGTTAGCAGGCAGTACGCCACCCTACTGAAGTACTGCCAGGACTCCTGACAAGAGATACCGATGCAGCTTCGGAGTCTCTTTACGAGGTATTTTTCACAAGTCACAAACTGTAAGTCATATCTTGATACATTTTCCATCAAATAGTTTGGGAAATTGCAATCCGTGTCACTACTAGGGAAGGGGATGGCATCCAGCTCATCATGAAGTTACAGGGCAAGTTCAAAGACACTTAATCTGTTCAAGCGGTTTTGCTTTCACTGAGGTACATAGGTGACTAGATAAAGCACTGTGCTGGCACCTCTTCCCCTACTCCGTCACAATATCAATACTTAACTATCATCAGAGAACTAAGGAAAAACAGAAGTCATTCTTTTTAGCCATGCTAAGACCCGTTTCAGTCAGATCACCTCTTACACGTCGCAGCCCAGTGTATAAAAGCAGTAAATCGGAGCTTTCGCTACCATCATCACATACGGCTTCATTTCCCAAGCGTGGATGTTGGTATTATCAATAATAATCGGGCTTTTCCCATTCTTCATGGCCTTGTACGCTGTAATGTAACACATTCAAGTAAAGCCAACGCGTATTAACCAACGGACTGAGCCAAGTGTTACTAGCCCTAAAGCATCCGTCCTTTGCCCACGGCCAGCACGCTTTGTTTGCCACCAGACTTGGCTCTGTGGCCACCAGCCAAAGGCGAGCAGAGGTCAGTGGCCAGCGGGTGCCCTCCTGGACAAGGTGATGCAGGCACCAGCCATCCTCAGTAGTAAGATCTCAGCCTCCTGCAGAACTTACGTGGGGGGATCGCAGCACACTTACAGCAGCTGAAATTGCCTGTTACTTGAAAAAGATGTCTGTGATCTCAAAGCGTTTTCCAGTGCTAGAAATGAGTTCAGAGCACGGTGGTGGTTCATTCTCAAACTTGCGATGAGGTTTGCAAGTTTTCCTCCTGGCTATTGCTACCTCCCCCCTGTTACACCCCTTCCAAGTCAGGATATCAACGGAGTTACCGTCCAAAGGCCGCGGCGCACAGAGCTGTTATTTCACCAAGATTCAGCAGTGCTACCTCACAGGCGCCGGTTCACTTTCTAAAATAACACCTATCAATCACCAACATATTTTTTTTCATGTACAATTTTTTCTAAGTCAGAAGAAATAAAATCAAGGGTGGTGAATGTATTCTTACAACCCCTACTCCATGAATTTCAGCGTATCGCACCACTTTGAGCCCTTATTTTGGGAGCTAACTTCACAGACAGACCGAAAAGAGAAACTGTTCTGCCAAACCCCTGGATCAATTTCAGTCACCTCTCTTCTGGTTCCATTTGTGTGCATCCTCTAGGAGGTCGGGCTCAAACACGTACACACCATTCTCCATAAAGAAGTCGTCAGTACTAAGGACTACGGCACCAGGATGGTCGCGTTTCAGCTGTCTGCAGAAAAAAAATGGTGAAAGAACGATCAGTGTGTGCTAACACCTGCCTTCAAACGAGAACCTGAACGCAGGAGCCATATGAATGCTCTGCAGCTATGCACAGGGCTTCGTTTGGAAAGATCCCAGCTCAAAGGATCTGCAAGTAATGTGATCAGTAGGTGGACACGCAGGAGGAAAGGCATGGAGCTTAAAGGCGTGGCCTTGATTTCACAGAATCACAGAATGGTTTGGGTTGGAAGGGACCTTAAAGCCCATCTAGTTCCAACCCCCCTGCCATGGGCGGGGACACCTTCCACTAGACCAGGTTGCTCAAAGCCTCATCCAGCCTGGCCTTGAGCACTTCCAGGGATGGGGCATCCACAGCTGCTCTGGGCAACCTGTGCCAGGGCCTCACCACCCTCTCCAGGAAAAATTTCTTCCTGATATCTAATCTTAACCTCCCCACTTCCAATTTAAACCCGTTACCCCTTGTCCTGTCACTACAGGCCCTTGTAAAAAGTCCCCCCCAGCTTCCTTGTAGCCCCTTCAGGTACTGGAAGGTGCTATAAGGTCTCCCCGGAGCCTTCTCTTCTCCAGGCTGAACAAGCCCAACTCTCGCAGCCTGTCCCCATAGCAGAGGTGCTCCAGCCCTCTGAGCATCTTCGTGGCCTCCTCTGGGTTTGCTCCAACCAAGTCTCTGTGATCACTGGCGGTATCACTGGAGATGATTGAACAAATCCTGTAACTATTTCACGGCCTGTCATGTTTTTCCATCAGAAAATTTGGAAATAAATGACTTTCTGATACCGAACCTGGCAAGCAGCTTGGAAGGAGCATTTTCAGCGCTCAGAGCCTGACAGAAGGGTACGTCGGGCTGATCTCGGAGCTGGAAAATTCTCAAGCTACCTCCAATGCCCCAGAGATCAGACAGGGCGTGTACGTAGCACCACCACGCAGAGCCGCTTGCTCGGGACCCTCCCCCCAACACAAAGCATTCCCGAGGCATTTAAAAGCTTTTCGTTTCAGCCGACCATCTGAACTTTGAGACCCAGAGCACATGCCCAGCGCTATGGCCTGGCCACCTGCGTTTTCACAGCTCCCGCTGCCCGGGGGACTTTGCCCTCGTGGGACCCAGCCAGGCGAGGGCTGCGGCTGGCACAGTACGTCCCCGCCCTCACATCCCACCCCAGGGGGGGCGGCTGCTGTGGGTGAAGCGCCAGGTGCCTGTC